GCCTGGGCCCTACCATGGCGGAGCCGCCCTGCGCGGGGTCCCCCAACAGCAGCCTACAGGCCGTGTGCTCCCCCACCCAGGAGGGGGGCCTGGCTGTGTGAAACCAGGAGGGGAGAGAGGAAGTTGGTGAGGGAGAGATGGGGATAGAGAGGAAGCACAGGGAAGAGTCTGGGGAGAGCAAGAGGAAGGGGCGAGAGGCGCTGCGGGGAGAGGTGCCGGGCAGATCCTGCACTGTCCTGACCCCAGGTCCCCACACACCTGCCACAGCCCGACGGGGTGAGCAGTGGTTGAGCGCCCTCCCATGGGCCCAGACGTCCTGGGTTCGATTCCCCGTCAGGGCACCTGCCCAGGTTGTCCCTCCCCAGGAGGGGGCGTGAGGAGGCAGCAGGTGGATGTGTATGTGTCGCCCTCTCCCTTCCTCGCTATCTAGCCAATAAAGACGTACTGAGCAAGCCTGCGACAGGGTCCCCGCCGCCCTTCTTTCCAACGGAACCTCTTGGCTCCTGTGTCGCTCACTTAGCGCGAGGCTTCCTGGGGGGACTCCGGATGGTCCTACCTCTCCAGCTGCCTCCCTTGGCTCCAGAGTCCACCCCAGCGAGGTCGCAGCCCTGGCTTCCCAGGATCCGCACTGACTGTCCCCCAGGCCTGGGAGCACTGGCCGGCCTGTGGGTGCGAAGCAGCGGGTACACCCTGTGGCCTCCACCAGGAAGACGAGGCTGGGCCGCTTAGAGCTGTTTTCCCAAACAATTCCCCATCGCGCCTTGTCAGGAAGGGAACCAAGATCAGTGTGCGTGCGTGCGTGCGTGCGTGCACATGGGGGGTGTGTGCACATGGGGTGTGTGTGCACATGGGGTGTGTGTATGTATGTGCACATGGGGGTGTGTGTGCACATGGGGTGTGTGTGCACATGGGGTGTGTGTATGTATGTGCACATGGGGTGTGTGTGCAGATGGGCATGTGTGTGCACATGGGGTGTGGGGGGGCAGGGTGTGGGGGGGCAGGGGCAGGCAGGCTGAGTTCGGGGTATTCTCATTTGCACCCGCCTTTGGCCATATCTAGCCACCAGCCTGCACTGTTAGTTGCCTAATATTTTTCTTGCCCTAACGCACCTTTTCTTCTAGATCTACTTTAACCTCGTGCTAAATGTCATGGGCTCTGATAGCAATAAGCAATTCACGGTTTTAGTGTTACCTATACTTTGTATTTTTATTAGCACTGAAGCCTATATTTTAGTAGCATTGAAACCTTAAAATGCATAACTATTCTTAAAAGCATTTTCTCAGTAAGACAAATACCTGATTATGTAAATTAAAGCTATTTCTCCTGTGCCATCCAAAACGACCTTGGCCACTGCAGCATCCCAGGTTCACATGGCACACTGGGAGGTGCACCCTGCACGGCCCACGGGCTGTGCGCGCTCCTGTGCTGCGCGCTCCCGGCGCTCAGAGCGCAGTCTCCCTGCCTCAGTGCAGGAGCTGAGGAGCCTGCGATCCAGGTGCCGCAGGGCTGGCTCCCTCTACGCGGTGAGGGCGGGACCTGCTCCACGCCTCGCTCCTAGGCCCACGGCTTCTCCCAGCCTGTCTGTGTCCGACTCATTTTTTTGTATAAGGACACCAGTCCTATTAGATGGTGCCCACCCCAGTGACCTCATTTTGACCTGGTTTCCCTGTAAAGACTGTCTCCAAATAAGGCCACGGTCTGAGGCTCTGGGTTAGGACTTCAGCACGTGGATTTGGGGGGACACAGTTCACAGACTAAGGCTGGTCAGAAGGCGCTCGGCTGTCTTCCTGTAGCCGCCAACGCTCTCATGGACCCGGCCGAGGGGAGTCCTGGTGCTGCGGGCAGTCAGGGTGCTGAGTGCTCCATCTGGTTTGCATAGGACAAAAGATATTGGGGTTTTGTCCGTTTCTCAATCGCTCTTTTAAGTTTACGATTTTTGGTTTTTTAAAGACAGGACCCATCCCTTGCTAGAAAGACTATCGGAAACTGTAAACACTGCCCCTTTATCCAGCTGGGCGTCTGCTGGTTCTCTCTCCAAAATACATTCTGATTCTGACTCGTCAGGCCCGCCCGTGAGGCTGAGCTCCTGCACCAGCCCCAGGGTCCCCGGCCCGGCCCCCAGCGGCCCCGGCTCGGCAAGCTTTCCGAAGACAAGAGAGGAAACGTCTTGGACTTTGCGGGTCTTACAGTCCCTGCAGCAGTGACCACACACTTAGTCCCATCGGCTGTGGTGGAGCGGAAGCCGTCAGACAAGAAAACACACAGATGACCTGCTCTAATTAAACTGCTAAGGAAGTGCCGGCCAGTGTGGCTCAGTGGGTAGAGTGTCGGCCCAAGGAATGAAGACTCGCAGGTTCCATTCCGGTCAATGGCATGCACCTCGGTTGCAGGCCTGATTCCCGGCCCTGATTGGGGCGTGTGCCAGAGGCAACCAATTGACGTGTCTCTCTCACATCAATGTTTCTCTCTCTCTCCCCCTCCCTTCCACTCTCTCTAGAAATCAATGGGAAAATATCCTCAGGTGAAGATTAACAACAACAACAAAATGCTTAGGAAAACAGTTTTGGATGTGGGCTGTGGATCATAGCTTGTCAACCCCGCCCTACTTCATTGCAACACTGATCTTTTTTTTTTTAAGATTTTTTCATTGATTTTTAGAGAGAGAAGAAGGGAGAGGGAGAGAGAAAAACATTGAAGTGAGAGCAAAACATCTATCAGCTGCCTCCCACATACACCCCAACCAAGAATTGAACTGGCAACCCCTCCGTGCATGGGACAACGCCCAACCAACTGAGCCTCACTGGCCAGGGCAGCACTGATTTTTTTTTTTTAACTACAAAGCATGTGCCCTTAAAAAAAATATTAATTTTTGAAAGTACTGCAGATGTTCCATTTTCCCCCATTGACTTCCCCCACCCCCAGCCCTACTGCACAACACTGATCTTTTTTTATCCCCAGCTTTGTTGAGACATAGTTGACATATAACATTGTATAAGTCTAAGCTGTTGATTGGATACATTTATAAACTGCAAAATGGCCCTGGTTGGTTTGATCAGTGGATAGAGCGCTGGCCTACAGACTGAAGGCTCCCAGCTTCGATCCCAGTCAAGGGCACATGCCCAGGTTTCGGGCTCCATCCCCAGTGGGGGGTGTGCGGGAGGCAGCCGATCAATGATTCTCTCTTATCATTTATGTTTCTATCTCTTTCCCTCTCCCTTCCTCTCTGAAACCAATAAAAATATATTAAAAAATAAATTGCAAAATGATCTCCACCAGAGCATCAGCTGCCACCTCCGCCCTGTCACATAATTACCATTCCTTTCTGGGTGAGAACATTTAAGATCTACTCACTCAGCAGCTTTCAAGCACACAACACAGTACTGTGAGCGCCACTTGCCCCCCAGAACTTGTTAATCTCATGACTGTGAGTTTGTACCCTTTGACCAACACCTCCCCCAGCCCCAGCCACTCAACTCTGTTTTTCAGAACACAGATCTTTTATTTAAGCCTCTCCATTTTTTACAGTTGTTTACGATACACATCTTTAGCACAGTGACCCCTCCAACAATGACGTATCACTTCACAGTACATGTACTCCCAGCCCCCACCTTCCTGCTAACGTGGTCATGCATCACTCTCACACATTCCATAAAGCTACAATCTATCACTACTGGTTTTGCTTCAGAAATTCAATACCCTTTAAAGCAATAGAAAATAAGAAAACAATGCCTTTTATATTTACTTCATTTCTGGAAATCCTCATTTTGTGTGTGTGAAGATCCAAGTCTCTGTCTGGTATCGCACTCCCTCTACCTGAAGGACTTCCTTAACATTTCTTACAGTGCAAACAAATCTGCAGGAAATGAACTCTCAATTTGGGCTCATTTGAAAAAGCCTTTATTTCTCTTCTGTTTTTGAAAAATAATTTTTCTGGGCATCGACTTTGGGGCTGCCAGTCTTCTTTCTTTGCGCATTTTAAGGGTGTTACTCCCTCCTCTCTGGCTTGCATAGTTTCTGACAAGACATCTGCTGTGTTCCCCTCATTGTTCCTCTAACCTGTGCCCTCAAAATATTCTTTTCACCTGACCCTTTTAGCAGCGTGAGAGCATTG